AGCCCACGGAGGACAAATCCACCAGCCCAACCACCCGTGAGGCCACAGCCAGCCAGCCTGCTGCCACCAAGCCTGCCAACCGCTGAACGGACCTCAGCCCACCAATTCCTGCAAAGCAAACCTCCGACTAGAGAGGAAGCTTGACTGCGCCCCCCCGCCCCAGCCCCAAAGCGCAGCACGACGTAGCTAGAATCTTTTTCTTTCTGCAGCATCACTCACCATCTGCTTATGTTTCAAATAACTCTTCAGAAATGACAGTATCTGAATGGCCCACATGAAGGCCTCCTGGGCACTGAGAGGACACTCTGGGTGCCTGTCTGCTGCTGTCATCGAGCTGTGCCACATCATCTCAAGTCTCTTTCCTGGCTACATTGCTTCCGGTCCTCCTGCCTGTGCTCCCCCGCTGTGTGCTCATGCTCCTTGGGGACCTCCTCAGTGAGAGAGGGTATTTAACTGTCCAATAAACATGGCTAAGTTGAAGCGACATGCTGTTTTCACCTCTCTCTTGTTAATGCCATCACCTCATCAGCTGACTTGCCTCGTCTTTGAGAGCAGCTCCATCCAACCATTCATCCATCCGACAAGGTTTATTAGAGACTGTGAGGTGCCAGGGACTAGGTTAGGCTCTAGGAATGAGACGACAAAAGTCTCAGTCCCTGCTCTCAGAGCTCACTCCAGTGGAGAGACAGATGGACAGAGAGACAATGAACTATACTTCATCGTGCTAAATGCTGGGGTAGAGGCAGGCACGGGCACTGGGAACTCAGCAGGGTGTTAGGGGGAGCCAGGGGAGGATTCTTGGGGACTGTGATACTGAAGCCTTGTCTTTCAGCACAAGTAGGAATTGAGCAGTTAGAAAGCAGGAAGGAAGAGTTTTCTAGGCAGAGGAAGCACACACATGAATTATCTGTGAGCACACTATTCACTAGGTGAGGCCTGGGCAAACGTGTGCTTAGAGGAGTGGTGAGCTCTGAGGTCAGGTAATCAGATCATGAGCTGCTCTTGTCAGACCTTGTATGCTGGACAGAGGGACTTGGATATGGTGCAGGGCTGACATGAAGGCATCAAGGAATTGTATGCTGGGCAGTGACATGAAGAGCACTGTTTTGGAATGTCCCTTTGGCCTTGGTGTTGAGAACTGCAGTGAGGAGTATGCTCTTGGATATAGGGAGACTGGGGAGGAAGCCAGTGGCTTTGGGGTGGGATGAAAACATGTGTGTGTGAGGGGGGGGTCCTAATTACAATAGGAAAGGATTTTTTTGTGTAAGAGCTTTACTTATGTTCTCCTAGTCCTGTAAGACACATTTTTTTGTAAAAACTCCATACATAGCCTCTTATAATCTCTAAGGATGGAGTCTCTTCAAAGTGATCATCCATTACACATAATACACAGAACAAAGGGCTATCCTTTGTCCTCAAAATGCAGCTTTTGCTCTCCTAAGCACAGGGGATGGGAGGCCAGGGCTCTCAACTTTGGCACTATTGACATTTTGGGCTGGGTCATTCTTTGTTGTAGTGCTGTCCTATGCTTGTATGATACTAAGCAGCATCCCTGACCTCTACCAACTAAATGCCAGTAGTGTCTCCAGATTGTGATGACCAAAAATGTCTCCAGGCACTGCCAAACACCCCCTGGGGAGTGTGTGTGCAAAAACTGCCCCTGTTTGAGAACCACTGGATTAGACAATGCAGAGTAAAAAGTGAAACTTGTCCTGCCACTGGTATTGGCGTTCCTGTCTCATCAGACTATTGGGATTTAGCTCTGTCTCCTTCCAGAGTCAAGAGAGGAGTTAGCCAGATTTTAAATCTCTGTGCCAAGCATGGACTCAGTGTTTCATGTAAATCACAGTCATTCTGTGAGAAGATTTCTTCTCCCCTATTTTATAGGTGAGGAATATAAAGGACAAACAATGCAAGTGCCCATCCACAGAGACAAGAAAATTATGGTATAGTCATGTAATAGATTATTCTGCTGCAGGGGAAAATGACTGGACAATGGCTACATGCAATATAAGTGAACCTTACCAATGAAATGTGGATTAATATAAACAAGCCTCAGAGAGCACACATGTATCTGAAGTTCAAAACAATACACATACATGAATTTACATGTATGAGTACATATGCATGTACACATATATGCAAATACACACATTATGTTATATATACTATCCTATATAATAAATAGCTAATTTGCTAATTAGACCAAACAGCAGAATGACCATCCGGACGACATTCTGGATAACGCCGGGGCTGCGAGGGCCAATCCCCTTTCACGAATTCCATGCATCAGGCCTCCAGTATATTTTATATCTATATTCACAAGGGGATGATAAACATAAAATTCAGGATAGTCATAGCTGGTAACATATAAATGATTAAAACCCAGTTCTGCCCAAAGCCTGTGATTTTTCTGTATTGCCATATTTCCTGATGTGATCCCAACAGTCCTTTGTGCCTTGAACTAAAATGAAAGTTGTCTTTATTAAGACGTTTCTTTTTTCCAGCTTTACTGAGGTATAATTGACAAATAAAGTTTTAAGATATTAAAAATGTACAGTATAATGATTTGATATACATATATAGTGAAAGGATTTCTCCCACCTAATTAATGAACACATTCATCTCCTCACATATTTATCATTTTTATGAGAACATATAAGTTTTCTTAGCAAATTTTAATTATGCAATGCAGTGTTATCAACCATGTTATAGCCATTAGATCTGCAGAACTTATTCTAATAGCTGAAAGTTTGCACCCTTTTACCAACCTCTTGAGAGGTTTCTTTAAGAAGAAGGGAGGAAAGAGAAGAAATAGAGAAAAAATTGATGTAAAAAATGGATTTCTTTGAAACAGTAACAGTGGTATATATGGGTAAAGGATATAGGTATCTTTTTCAGATTGAAGTTGACTGGTTTCTCAAATACATTTAAGTTCCATTTTGATTAACTTACTTGGTATTTATTCCTAAATATCTACATCCCAAACCTCTCATCTCTCAAGTATTTCCTTTTGGGAGATAAGAGGTTTGGGATATATATATTTAGGAATAAAACATCCTTTAGGGGCCCTTGTAGTTTACAAGATATTGAAATGAATAGCGATGAAATGAGGGCAAAAGAAGTGATTGATGCTGTGACATAAAAAGCAATGGTATATTTCATTCCATCGCCCCTTTCCTCTATCAGTCCATTTAAAGAACTCATATGCATATATGATAGCCCATAAACACAGACAATAGCACGGTGAAGGCCTCGGGGGGAGGGGAAGGTAAGGGTACAAGGCGAAGGGAGTCAATGGGGGCGGGGGAAGGGAACATCTATAATACTTTTAACAATAAAGATAAAATTTAAAAAAGAAAGCAGAGAACACACACACAAATAAAAAGATATATGTATCCCTACCAAAAAAAAAAAAAAAAAAAAAAAAGCAATGGTAGAGGAAAGGCATTTTAACCACTAGGGGAAGAGTTTTCTAGGCATCATTCAATCAGAAAATTGTCTCTTTTTAAAATGAGGGGGTGGAAGGTATAAGGTGATGGCATTTTGTATCTGGTACTTTGAAAAGTATCTTCCAGGATGTCCGGCACTCTCAATAATTCTGAGACAGAGAGTAAGAGCCAAAGTAACCTGAGCAACAGCAATGCAATTGATGAACTCCTGGTACTTTGAACACGGGGTCATGAGCTAAGAGGTCCAACAGAGTGAGTTAGCGGCAGAACCAGAAATCCAGAGCAGCCCTATCTGGCTCTCAAAGCCATGGTCTATCCATCCCACCCTGCATCTCCATTGTGAACCAGGCCAGGGTGTGGACCGGTGTGGGATGCTGGAGTTGGATGGTGAAGCAGAGCCTGGACCAGCCCAGAGGAAGAGGGAAAGAATCAGAAAAGCACCTTGCAAATCTCTCTTGGAAGAGGTTGATTTAACACTAACACAACTTCGCAGCTATGGCCTCATGTCACATCTGGTTGTTGTGTTTTTATATTTATAGAATATATATGCTTTGACTTCATAGTGTGAGTTTAACCTTTCCTGATGAAGCATATGGCAGTTTTAAATTTCCAAATTCAATGATTGTCTTTGGATGTATTGATGAGCAGAGGTAAGTACTCATACCCGTTTGATCTGATGACTACAGTCACCGGAGAGGGCAGATGACCCCTAGCGTGGGGTCTGGGCCACCCACACGTAGCAGGTGTATTGCTGCAAGAATGTCAGCCTTCAGTCACTGTGTTAAAGTCATCCCATTCCCCCTCCAAAGTCGGGAGGTCTAGTAGGTGGTCAGTTTCAGAGGAATTTGAGTCAGCCTAACTTAGGGTTGAATCTTATTTCTACCCTTCATTACTTGCATAGTTTGGGGAACACGATTTAAATTCCAAGTTGGTTTGTTACCTCCAAAATGGTGGTGACAATTATACCTAGTAACTAGGGTCACTGCAAAGATCCCATGAAAAATGCCGCCAAGGACTTGGTACGTAGTAGGTATGCGATAAATGGAAGCCATTACTATTGTCATTGGTCTTAGCAGAGTTGTTTCAGGAAAGCCAAATGGGAAAGGTCTAGAAAGAATGTCCTTGACTGATTTTCTGCTCTCCTTCTCTGACATCATCCTCCCTTAACTGGGTCAGGGCTTCATTTCCGGATTGAATGGCACAGAGCTGCATTCCTGGTGGGAGAGCGGGCTACGGCCTCCTGATGAGAGGTTGTGCTGGGAAAGGCCTGCTTCCGGGAGGTCGGAGCGCAACCTGTAAAAGCGACAGCTCATCGCAGGGCAGGAGCAGCATCCAGGAATCCAAACTTAGCAAAGAAAACTCCCCGCTCAACAGACAAGTTGTAAAAGCATCTCCCCGGCTCCTGAAGCCTGCTAATCAGATGTCTGCCTGCAAACCGGTGGAAACAACAACAAGGAAAGATGCTCTATGTCGCGCCAACACCCCTAGTGGAGGCCTATAAAGGCCCCTGTGTATCAGATGTCTTCCTGGCAAATGAGCTCCAGCGCCATGATGGACGGCTGTTGTCCTGGAAATGCCGTGGCCATTCCAGCTGGGCCCACCATCTCCATGTGCCCAACGAGTGGCAGCTTCCGAAATGGCATCCTTTTGCCTAGCTTCTGCCGGAGCAGAACCTGGCAACTGGTCACATGCCAAGGACACTGCCAGCCATCCGGCAGTGTCCCAGGAGGCTGTGAACCTGCTCCATGCCACCCTACCTGCCTTCCAGCAACTTCCTGTGTGGGCTTTGTTTGCCAACCCATTTGCTCCTGCACAGCCTGCTACGAATCCAGCCCCGGTCAGGCTCCTCGTCTGGTTAGCTCCTGCCAGCCCTCCTGCTTAGAACCCACCGTCGGCCGGGAAAAGTGCTGCAAAGCCAGCCCCGGTCAGCAAAGTTCCTGCCAGGCACCTGTCTTCATGTCCGGATCGCGCCAGGCAGCTTGTGACCAATCAGTCTGCCGTGACACTAGGTCCTGCCAGCCATCCTGCTCTGAGGTGACTCCCTGTCCTGAAACATCGTGCCCACCGACCGCCTGTGCAGCTACTCCATGTCAGCCAACTTGCTGCCAAGCGGGTTCATGCCACCCCATGAGTGGCGAAGGTCAGCCCTGCAGATCAACTTATTACCAGCCCATCTGCTACGTTTTCAAGACTTGCCAATCAGTTCCCTGCATGCCCGTTCCCTGCCAGCCATCGCCTTGCGTGTTCGGTTCTTGCAATCCTGCTTGCTGTGTGACCTCCCCTTGCCAGCCACCGCCCTGCCAAGCAGCTCCTTCCAGATCCTTCATCTGCTGGCCGGCAGCTAACTGCCGGCCCCCTTGCTCTGTGAAGAACTCTTGCACACCCGCATCCTGTGGCACCGGGCCTTCTGGTCAACCAACCTGTGGCGGACCCACCTCCTGCAACCAAGGTGGCTGCAAATCCCCTTCCCACCAACCCGCCTGCTGTGTGACAGGTTTAGGCAAAGTGTCCAGTGGTGACTCCAATTGCTTCCAGCCAAGTCCTCCACGTCCCTGCAAAGCCAGCCCCTGCTTGCCGACTTCCTGTCAACCCGGCCTCGAGTCCAGCTCCTGTAAGGCAACTCTTGGCTGACGGAGCCCTCTTCACACCTCCTCTGAGCTCTGCGGCTGTCTGCCAGGGTACAGCCATCCCGCGGCGCCCGCCCCCGGCCAAGCACAAACGCTGCCTGCTTGCTCACGCACCCCGTTCCTGCCCCACCCTCTCTCCAGGTCCTGGCGTGGGAACCTGTCCGGCCACAGGAGATCCTTCCTAACCAAGGAGAAGCTGTCAGCGAGCATGGTCCCCACAACAGCTTGCCTTCCCTGATGTCAGTTCACTTCACTTCAGCAAGGCCTTCTTCCCACTTTTCCTTTTGATGCTGCCCAGTCCTTCAAAAGACTCCTTGGCTGCCAGCTGCTCATTAAAGTGGGACTTGTCAAGCATGATGAGCAAGACTCTCAGAGCGCTTTCCTTCCTTTCAGTGCACCGCTTTGTGGATTTCCTTCAGGCCTCCTTGGGCCACGACGACGCCGGGCCCTCTGAGTCAGGGTCTGCCTTTGGTGTTCGGTTCTTGCAACCCTATTTGCTGATAAAGTTGATGTGCCTTTTGTACCCTCTCAGTGCCATTTATCTTCTTCCCTTGTCAGGTACACCCTTGTATGCCCTTCTAGTCACTGTTCCATTAAATAAAAACACAAACAATACATACGTACTATTTATAAAGAAGTCAAACAATATATATATATATTTTACCAGGGTTTAGAAATTTAAACATTTATATATACTAGTATAATGTAAAACTAGGAAATTTACTTTTTTCCTTTATTATTGCTTTTAAGAATACGTCAGGATATTTTACCAGGGTTTAGAAATTTAAGCATTTATATATACTAGTATAATGTAAAATTAGGAAATTTAATTTTTTCCTTTATTATTGCTTTTAAGAATACGTCAGGTGTATGGCTCTTTACTTTGAGTTCAGGTTAGCCATAGTGTTTCTTCCCTAGCAAACTCCTGATGCCTTGAGAACCTGCAGAAAAGACTACAGTAGGTCCTTGGGTTACGTCGGAGATCCGTTTCTACTGCATGACATAATGCGATTTTCACCGTAAGTTTCACCTACATAAGCACCTACGTCACTCACATGGAGCACATACACAGCAGTAATGAAGTGAAACAGTCAAAAAAATTTAAAAGAAAGAATAATTCCTGACCTTTATTTGTGGTAAATAAAAATAATAATAATAAAAAACATAAAGCAAATATGTACATACTTCGAAATGTCGGAACTTTATTTATTTATAAATAAATGGAAGATGGTGACGTAACCATGAAACGACATACGTCAAGTCCGACGTAACCCAAGGACTGCCTGTATTCTGTAGCTCTGCCCCAAGCTGTCTGCCTAATTGTCCCTCTAGTACATCTCTCATCCAGGGTCTCAGCTTGAACTGGGGATCAAGGGCTTATTGTTATTGGGTAAAGTGAGAAGTTGCCATTGGAAATGAGACATGTTTTGGCAACTGTCACTGAATTCAGTCTATATTTCTGCACTCTCTTCATAAGGTATTAGGAGAGTCCTTTCCAAATCGCCCTGTGGAAATCCAGATTCATTTTCTACTAAGTTTCTTGGATCAACTGATCTAGCAAAAATAAAAAGTTAAAGCATTTGCCATGACTTGGTCTAAGTGGTCCCATGTTCTCTTTCTAGGGAATCGCAAAGGGTCTTTTGAGCAATCCATCCTAGAATATTTTTCTGAGGTGAGGTCAAACTTGAAGGTGCATGATTTGCCGAAACTTGAACATGGAATGGCATTTGCTTGTCTGAACACATTCGGCATCTCTCGTCCTCTAAGATCCCTCACTGTCGATGTGTGTTTTACTCCTATTCTCTAAGTGCTCTGGGACATAATGTGCAAGAAACTGAATGAGGCTCAAGTTTCTTTATCACGCCCTTATCTTGGGTAAGGAATGTTTTTGTACTGAATGAGGCTCAAGAGCTTGGTTTTTATCACGCCCTTATCTTGGGTAAGGAATGTTTTTGTCTAGAAAGAGGGTCTGAAGGCTTTCTGGCCAAGGGCAGGCTATAAAGCTGAACCAGGAACAATAAAGAAGACGTGACAATAAAGGAGACATATGCATGCTTTCCTTATCGGCTTTACACTCTCTACTTAACGTAGGCTTCCTTGATTTATGTTTTGGGCATGAGAAAGTCTGAAGGGGTCCACTCTGGTGTTGTTAATCAAGGTTTCTGAGAGGAGAAGGCCTGGGAGCGCCAACACAGGATTCAACCCCTCGTAGAAAAGGCTTCTAACGGAGAGGTTCCCATGGGATCAGAAAGGGCTGGGATTGGGGAGAGACTGCTGTGCCTGTCTCAGCAGTGAGCAGAGCCTTCCCTCTAGGACCCAGTTTTCATTAATATTTGTAAACGGACACAGTGCTGCTACACTCTTTCTGAGCTTCCCATAAATTCTTGGCCATATGGCGGCTGGAGAAAAATGATGAGAGTGACCCGACTTGTGGGTTTGATTCACGAGTCTGGCTGAAGCCAAGGAGCAGTGGAGCCTTCCCGGGCAGCTCAGACAGGGGCTGGAGGTTCCAAGGCACTAAAAGAAAAGTGGAAGGAGTGGATGAAATGAAGACGGAGGCCGAGTCCCTGAAATGAACCCCTGTTCTTTCCCTAACAGTCTCACTTGCACAGGAGTGCCTAATCTAGATGTTGACCTTCATGTCTGACCCATCTCATAACAAGTGTGTAACTCATGGGAGGGAGGGAAGGAATATGATGGGTGTGAACAAAGACACACAAAAAATGAGTAATGCAATATTCTGATGATAACTCCACATCACTGATAAAAAATTTTTTTGGAAGAGAATGATAAATAAGTCCAGCGATCCAAAAATACAATTAGAAATATCATAAATAACCAAAAGATATTATGGTAGGAATGAATCAAAACACAGATTTCATGAAAGATGCTAATGAGGCAATAGTATGAGTGAGGATGCATAAGTGGGGCCTACAGCGAGATGCCACCCAACACTTGGAATCTACACTAAAAAGGACCAAATTATGTAAAGTCACCTTAAAACGAAGGATATCTCCAAAGTTGGAGGAATTGATTCAGATCTGGTTGAAGATATAGGCAATGTGAAAATTAACCGAGGGTGTTGGCATCACGGAAACTCGGCGTGAAGACATCGCTGAGGCAAATGTTGGCCGTGCCCCTGCCAAGCACTGCACAGGGGAGATGGAGAGTTAGTCACAGGACTGTGAGTTTTCAATGCCCCTGCCAAGCACTGCAGGGAGATGGAGAGTTAGTCACAGGACTGTGAGTTTTCAAGTTCCATTCGTGAGGACTATTGTGAAAGAAATGTGCCAAATGCCATCTGACATTAGTTCCTTTAACTTCCAGTGCCAATTCCGTGCTCGTGTGATAGCTCAGGAGTTCCTGTTACAGTCAATTCTCCTGTAAGTTCATAAGTAGGCGTCCTTGCTTTATGGGCTTGGCTAACGTGAGTCTGCTCCAAGAGGTGGCTTCCTCCTTGGTGTGTAAACAAAAATCAGGTCCAGGGTCATGATCAAGGCTGTGAGTTCTGCCCTGAATGCCTTTCGGAAGACAGCTTCCCCCTCTCCCCCTTCTTCAAGGGAATGCCTAGTCCTATGACAGCGTGTACGTTTTCTTTAAAGCAGACGCTATGTGAATGCTTATGGACTTCGGAGAATGATAACATGCCAGTAAGCAATCAACTAAGTAATGATGGGGTAAGGCAGAGTGCTCAGGGCCCTCAAAGAATTTCAGGCATGGCAGGAATCCTGATAAAAACCTCCGAGTGGCTGTCAGTTCCGATGCCTCATAATAAAACAATGCATGCACCCAGGGTGGTCCAGCCCATCCTTGGAGACCTCTTTTGAAGAGTTTCTCCACATTTCAGGTCATACTCATCCTCGGCCCGCTGGACTTTTCCTCCATCAGAAGCATCTAGGCTACAGTCAGAATGGCATTCCCAGGCACTTCCCGACTCGTATTAGCCCCGCCCTCTATTTCAGTGCCCCTTGCCAGGAAACCCCATTCCTTTTCCTCTAAACATGGCCATTACCCTCCGGCTCTGTAGGACACAGCACTTCCCTGACTGGTTGTCACAGATTTTAAGATGGTGGCGGAGACTGAAGAGAAGAGTCCTATTTTCTTTTTAAGATTCTTAGAGGGGACGGGGAGGGGCTGGCCACTTTCCCCAGGCTGAGTTCATGAGTTTATGTCAGGATAGATGAGGCAGACCAGCAGCTGGCACACTGAGCTACAGGAAAAGGAAGAACCAAATCAAAGTGAAACAGGCTCCACACCACTCAGCAGCCTTGCAATTGAACAAGATAATTAACCGAATGTTGGTTGGCAGCAAAGCTGGGGGAGTGAGATTATTGGCACGTTTGACTGACAGGTCTATCATTAAGGAGAAATGCCAATTTGTTTCCTAAAGGGGCTGTACAAATTTATACCACCCTCCACCCCTCCCCCAACGTGCAAGAGCTTCAGTAGTTTCACATCCTCCCTAAATTTTTGATGTCAGACTTTTACATTATTTTTCAATATAGTGGTGTAAATTGGAATTTTGAGTTTTTAAAATATATATTTTTTTATTGATTTAAGGGAGGAAGAGAGAGATAGAAATATCAATGATGAGAATCAACTTTTATTGATTTCAGGGAGGAAGAGAGAGAGAGAATTATCAATGATGAAAGAGAATCATTGAGCGGCTGACTCCTGCATGCCCCACAATGGGGATGGAGCCGGGGCTGACTCCTGCATGCCCCACAATGGGGATGGAGCCCACAACTGGGGCATGTGCCCTGACCAGGAATCGAACCGTAACCTCCTGGTTCATAGGTCAATGCTCAACCACTGAGTTATGCTGGCCAGGCAGAATCTTGAGGTTTTGAACTGCATTTTTCTCAATTACTTATGATTTTTTTTTAACATTTCTTGGCTATATTGTATATGTTTCCTCTAAATAAAATTCCTAGCTACATCTTTTACCCACTTCTCTATTGAGTGGTTCATGGTTACTGGTTGTGAGAGTTATGTTGTTGAGACCAGTCCTTTGCCTCTGTGTGTCCCAGTCAATACCATGTGAGACAGAAGAACTGGACACACAGCATGGGCCGCAGCAAGGCTGGCAGCAGCTGGACACCCAGCATGGGTGAGCCCATGAACTCATGAGAAATGGTAAATAGTTGTTTTTAGTGATAAATAGTTTGTAACAAAGCAACAGATAATTAAAATAATATAAAACTCTGTTTTATTCATATCCTAAGGCCCAAGTTTTCTTTCATAATATTATTGAACTTTGGTATCATTTTTAGCTGATCAATCTTCCCAGAGTTGTATCTATTTTGTTCAATTTAGAAAAGGCCAGAGGAGAGAGCAAGATGGCGGCATAGGTAAACACAGGAGACTGCTGCCGCAAACAACCACTTCAAAAATACAACTAAAAGACGGAACGGACATCACCCAGAACCACAGGAAGGCTGGCTGAGGAGAGACTCTTCAACTAGAAGGAAAAATAACAGCACACCGAGGCTCAGAGGAGGCGCAGTGTGGAAAAAACTCAGGTGCGGAGGTGCGCGCGCAAAGCGGGCTGGTGGCTGAGAGCGCGGTTGTCGTTTTCGGTCAGGGGGGAGTCTCAGACTCTGAGCTCCAGATACGGGCGAATCGCTGGGGACTCGGACCCAAACGGGAGAAGCGGGAGTGTCTGGCATCAGTTGGAAGGCAGCTTTCCCTCCGAGGTTTGCAGCGGTTCCGGGGGTTCTGAGAAGCAGAGCCTCTGGGAACAGGACTGAGGGCACCATAACGGCTCCCTCCGCCCGCCCTGTTGAGCCCGCCCCGCCCAAGCCCTGCGCAGAGCCATTTGCCGGATCACCTCAGGCAAAGGCTAGATTAGCACCTCCCCAGAGGACAGAAGTTTTCCGCGGCAGACACAGCTGATTCACACAGCCAGTCGGCCTGGTGGTCAAATCCCTCTAGTATTAACTACAACAATCAAGGCTCAACTAGAACAAGACTGCGCACAAAGACCACTAGGGGGTGCACCAAGAAAGCATAAAAAATGCGGAGACAAAAAAACATGACAGAAATGGAGGATATAGAGCTAAAAATCGCAATTTTGAGGGCTTGCAAAAATGTGCTAGAAGCTGTCAATAAACTTGAGGAGAGAGTCACGAAAACTAATGAGACCCTCGATGCTATGATAAAGAACCAACTAGAAATTAAGCATACACGGACTGAAATAAAGAATATTATACAGACACCCAATAGCAGACCAGAGGAGCGCAAGAATCAAGCCAAAGATTTGAAATGCGAAGAAGCAAAAAACACCCAACCGGAAAAGCAAAATGAAAAAAGAATCCGAAAATACGAAGATAGTGTAAGGAGCCTCTGGGACAGCTTCAAGCGTACAAACATCAGAATAATTGGGGTGCCAGAAGATGAGAGACAGCAAGATATTGAAAACCTATTTGAAGAAATAATGGCAGAAAACTTCCCCCACCTGGTGAAAGAAATGGACTTACAGGTCCAAGAAGCGCAGAGAACCCCAAACAAAAGGAATCCAAAGAGGACCACACCAAGACACATCATAATTAAAATGCCAAGAGCAAAAGACAAAGAGAGAATCTTAAAAGCAGCAAGAGAAAGAGACTCAATTACCTACAAGGGAATACCCATACGACTGTCAGCTGATTTCTCAACAGAAACTTGGCAGGCCAGAAGGGAATGGCAAGAAATATTCAAAGTGCTGAATACCAAGAACCTACAACCAAGAATACTTTATCCAGCAAAGCTATCATTCAGAATTGAAGGTCAGATAAAGAGCTTCACAGATAAGGAAAAGCTAAAGGAGTTCATCACCACTAAACCAGTATTATACGAAATGCTGAAAGGTATCCTTTAAGAAGAGGAAGAAGAAAAAGGTAAAGATACAAATTGTGAACAACAAACATGCATCTATCAACAAGTGAATCTAAGAATCAAGTGAATAAATAATCTGATGTACAGAATGAACTGGTGATTATAATGAATCAGGGACATAGAAAGGGAATGGACTGACTATTCTTGGCGGGGAAAGGGGAATGGGAGATGCGGGAAGAAACTGGACAAAAATCGTGCACCTATGGATGAGGACAGAGGGTGGGGAGTGAGGGCGGAGGGTGGGGCGGGAACTGGGAGGAGGGGAGTTAGGGGGGGGAAAAAAAAAGGAACAAATGTAACCTGAAAGGCCAAACTTTTGGTTTCGTTGAATTTAATACACACACACACACACACACACACACACACACATATATATATGTTTACTTTCTGTTTTACTAATTTCTACTCTTTTTTGTTTAGGCATTCATTTTCTTCTGTGTAGTTTGGGGGCAATGCTATTGCTTTTCTCTTAACTTCTTAAGTTGGGGCATTTAACTCATTAATTTTGAGGTTTTCTTCTCTTCTTATATGAATACTTAAACATATAAATCATCCTCAAAGCATTTTTTTGTTGCATCCCATGAGTTTTGGGATGTCACGTTTATTATCCAACTCTACACATTTAGATAACTCCTCTGTACTATAGATTTTACTCCTGTGTTTTGTACATTTATCCACTTCCCCCACCCATCTTAGCTCTGTATGGCCCAACCAGAAAGGGGTGCTACTGGCATCTAGTGGGTAGAAGCCAGGATGCTGCCAGACACTCCTCCATGGTCACAACAGGGCACCTTCACCAGCCAACAAAGAATTACCTTGCTTGTGCTCAGTCCCACGACATTTTCTAATTTGTTTTGAGATTAAAACTTAAGTATCATTGAGCAGAAGCAAAAGACACAGTTTTGGGTCTGAGTCTGTCCAAATCAGCTATCTAACATGACCCCATGAAATGTTCTCATGTGAAAAATGCAGATAATTATTTTGGGGGGACTATATGAAGCTCAGAATGGATCATGCATATGATGTGCAACATGTAACATACTACTGGTGTAAATCCATCCACCAGGATGCTGTACAATAAAACCAAACGCAATATGGAATGCACAGAATTTATTAAGAAATAGAGGTACAACTTCCCGTAACCAGGAAGCCAACTCAGAGTGACTGTGGAAGAAAAGCAGGATTACAGGAACCAGGAGCGCATGGGAAAAGAAAACAGGACTGAGAAGATTTTCAGCAGTTGCAGAAAACCTATGTAACAGTTACAAGAATTCCTTTTTCTAAGTTACACAGAGGATGATGACCTGGACTACGGAGTCAAAGCAGAGACATAGCTCCATGTCGAGGATGCACGAAGCTGGCATATGATCCACACACACGGGAGGAAGAGGATTGGGGACGTCCTCTGCTCTCCATCCAGCTGATTTAGAAGTTTGTATCAGGCACACGAGTCACAGAAATTTAGGTACAGCATGCTGGTTGTCAGCCAAGTTGAGGAAGTGAATTTGTTTCCAAAATGGCGAGTCAGTTAAGAGGTATTGTGTGAAGATGGTGGTTATTTGGTGAGGCGATCAGCAGCAGGAAGGCTGGCAGCAGCTGGACACACAGCAAGGGCGGCAGCAGCAGCTGGGCCGGCAGCAGGTGGTTTTACAGCAGGTGGTCTGACACCATTTTGGACAGCAGCAAGGCTGGCAGCAGCTGGATCCACAGCATGGGCTCTGGCCACAGCTGGATCCGCAGCCATAGCTTATGCACCCAGGCACACAGCAGCAGGTGGGGCGGTAGCAGGTTCTGCAGACATTCACGGGACTGCAGCAAACTTGCTGGCAGCAGGGTGAGCAGCAGCAGGACCCGCCACAGCTGGACCCACAGCAGCTGGGCTGGCAGCAGGGAGTGCTACAGCAGCAAGGCTGGCAGCAGCTGCTCACACAGCAAGGGCGGCAGCAAGGCTGGCAGCAGCTGGACACACAGCATGGGCGGCAGCAAGGCTGGCAGTAGCTGGACCCGCCACAGCTGGACCCACAGCAGCTGGGCTGGCAGCAGGGAGTGCTACAGCAGCAAGGCTGGCAGCAGCTGCTCACACAGCAGGGGTGGCAGCAGGTGGTCTGACAGCAGGTTGGGCGGCAGCAAGGCTGGCAGCAGCTGGACACGCAACAGGGGTGGCAGCAAGGCTGGCAGCAGCAGGACCCACAGCTGGACCCACAGCAGGTGGGCCTGCAGCAGCTGGGCTGGCAGCAAGCCAAGTTGAGGAAGTGAATTTGTTTCCAAAATGGCGAGTCAGTTAAGAGGTATTGTGTGAAGATGGTGGTTATTTGGTGAGGCGATCAGCAGCAGGAAGGCTGGCAGCAGCTGGACACACAGCAAGGGCGGCAGCAGCAGCTAGGCCGGCAGCAGGTGGTTTTACAGCAGGTGGTCTGACAGCAGGTTGGGCGGCAGCAAGGCTGCTCAGATGCTGAGGGCTCCCCTTCTATCCTGGGGCTTTTATACGCTCTCCCACCCAGTTTGGACCAATGAGCAGAACTTTCCTTGTTGTTGTTCATATTGTTTTCCATAGTCACTGGGGAATTGTAAAAAAGGAAGTTATTTTCTACATGTTTTAATGAGTAGCAGATAAGTGTTTAATATGTTTCTTAATTGAGAATTACGGAAACTTTTTCAGATAAAAGGATGTTAGCATCGTTCCTGCTTTGTTCATAATCTAGTCATAAGATACAGTTCCTGATCACCTCATTAGGTTCAATATACTTTCCCTCCTCAGTTATTTTTAAATTGAATTTATTGGGATGATATTGATTTGCAAAACCATACAGGTTTGAAGTGTACAGGGCAACAAAACATCATCTGCACATTGCCTCGTGCACCCTCCGCCCCAAACAGTCTCTTCTGGTCTCCATTTTCCCTCCCTTTGCCCACCTCCACCTATCCCCACCCCCCTTCCCCTCTGGCTATCACCACACTGTTGTCTGTGTCTATGTGTTATGTATATGTTTTTTGACTAATCCCTTCACCTTCTTTCATCCAGCGCCCCCTCCTCTCTGACAGATACCAGACTGTTCCATGAATTAATGCAGCTGTTCTCAACCTGTGGGTCGCGACCCCTTTAGGCGGTCGAACGACCCTTTCACAGGGGTCGCCTAAGACCATCCTGCATATCAGATATTTAAATTATGATTCATAACAGTAGCAACATGACAGTTATGAAGTAGCAACGAAAATAATTTTATGGTTGGGTCATAACATGAGGAACTGTATTTAAAGGGCCAGAAGGTTGAGAACCACTGCATGAATGCCTCTGTTTCTGTTCTGTTCATTGTTTCTTCAGCTGACTTTGATTGGGACTTATTTCTGGGGTGACGGGCACGATGCTGACATGTTTACAGTGACAAACTGAATCCATGCCCAAGCCCAACTCTGTGTCAGGGAGAAAAAAAAATTCTCCTTTGCCCTTCCAGGTTCTGCTTGCTGGTCTAAGAGTTAAATGGACAAAATCTGATTAACAGGAAGAAAACAAACAACCATTTAAGAACATGTATAGCTCCTGTATACATGGGAGAGACTCGGGAACTAAGTCACTCCCCTGAGATGGCATCTGCCTTCACCTTAACACCATCTTCAATAAAGACAAAAGCAGACCTGGGGAGTGGGGCGTTAGTTATGAGAGGTTGCCAGGGGGAGCACAGCAAACAAGGGTAAAGTTGTTCAGAGTGAAGTCCCTGCCTTCTCCATTGGTAGGAGTTTCTAGAGACTGTCATCCCCACCTCCTGGTATAGTGTAGAGGGGAAAAAACATAATTTTCCCCTGTACATTCACCCCCTTTTTAACCAAAAGTAATTATAGTAAAACTAATTTGTTTTCATAACAAGTCGAGTCTTACTAAATTTGGCCTGCTTATTTACCTAAGAGTGGCAAGAGTGGTGATGGGTCATATAGGCTCTTATATTTATGTTTACGGTTTATTAAAATTTTCAGGGTGATTTTGGTTAATAAAATTATATAGGTTTCAAGTGTATAATTCTATAATACACGGTCTGTATATTGCATTGTGTGTTCACTAACCAAAGTCAAGTCTCTTTCCGTCATCATATATCTGACCCCCTTTACCCTTTTTACCTCTCCCACCCACTCTGGTAACCACAACACTGTTGTCTGTGTCTATGAGTTTTTGTCTTATATGTTCAGTTTTATATCCCACATGAGTGAAATTATATGGTTCTTGACTTTTTTATCTGACTTATTTTGCTTAGTATTATATTCTCAAGATCCACCCATATTGTTGCAAATGGCAGTATGTAATCTTTTCTTATGGCTGAGTTGTATTCCATTGTATATATGTATCAGATCTTCTTTATCCAATCATCAATGAAGGACACTTAGGTTGTTTCCATGTCTTGACCACCATGAATCATGTTGCAATTAAATAGGGGTACATACATCTTTACAAATAAATGTTTTCAAATTTCGGGGTAGATACCCAGAAGATGGATTGTTGGGTCAAATGGTAACTCTATCTTTAGTTTTTTTTGAGAAAGCTCCATACTGTTTTCCTAGTGGCTGTACCAGTTTAGATTCCCACTAGCTGTGTATAAGGGTTCCTTTTTCTCTACATCCCCTCAACACTAGCTATTACTTCTCTTGTTGATAATAGCCATTCTAACAGGTGTGAGGTGGTACCTCATTGTGGTTGTGATTACATTCTTTTAAATCTGCTTTGCTGGAACTTTCCATGTGGAATCTTCAGACTGAACTTTTAACAGCCTCTCGAGGCTAAGAAGCCGAGCCAGAAGATGCTTGCAATCAGCTTTGCTTGCAATACCTATAGATTTAGGTCAATTTCTCTCTTCTTGAGCTCCCCAAAATATCCTGAGGTTCATCCCACATAAAATTAGCACTGATTTCTTTTCCCTTCTTCACCCTTCCATGAATAGAAGATCTAATTTACTATAGATCTTAGCAACCTCAGCCTATGTTTTTGTTTGTTTCTTTTTTTATTAGGTTAAAAACTTTCACTTTTTCACTTAAAGGAAGCACTTGACAGTTTCTCTTTAGCATATCTGAGTTGCCAGCATCACTCTCTTACACTTTGGGCCATTATTAAGTGAACACGAGTTACTTGAACACAAGCACTGCAGTAGCAAGGCAGTTGATCTAATAACTGAGACAGCTACTAAGTGACTTACGGGTGAGTAGGGTGTATAGTATGGATTTAATTGACAAAGGGAGGATTCACTACCCAGGTGGAATGGAGCAGGACAGCACAAGATTTCACCATGCTACTCAGAATGGCATGCAACTTAAAACTTATGAATCGTTTATTTCTTGAATTTTCCATTTACTATTTTCAGACCATGGGTGACTGTGGGTAACTAAAACTATAGAAAGCAAAACCTCAGATTCAAGGGGGAATGGCTGTATACTGAAAAGTGTATAAAACATACATGTATAATATAATAAATAATTATGAAGCAAGCATCTATCTATCCCAACACCCAAGTCAAACAAAAGAGCATTGCTGTCACCAAGAGGGACCTGGATGTGTCTTCTCTTAACCACATTGCTCTCCTTCCCACTACATATAATCACTGCCCTGATTCTTAATCTTTTCTCTGATGTGCTTTACAGTTTCACCACCTAGGTATGCATCCTAACCATGATAGTTTAGTTTTACTTGTTTTTGAATTTTATATAAGTGGGATCTTCATATATGTATTGTGTGTTTTTATTCTCTCACTCAGTTAAGAGTTGTGGTAGGCAGCCCCTAAGGTGGCCCAGTGATTTCTACCTCTTGGTGTTCATGGTCTTAACGTAATTCCCTCCCTGTGAGTAACATGTTTCTAACCAACCGCCTCTGGCAACATCAAGCGATTAAGTTATACGAGATGGTGACTTTCATCTTGCTAGCCGACTTTCTCTCGCCCTCAGGGCTTTGAGGAAGTGAGCGGCCCTGTGGGGGAGAAGTATGGGGCAAGGCACTGAGGACAGTATCCATTCGACAACCAGCAGGGAACTGAGGCTCTCACTCTAATAGCCCTCAAGGACTGGAATCCTGTCAACATCTATATCTGTGAACTTGGAAGTGGATTCTTCTCCAGCTAAGACTTGAGATGAGATGCCAGTGCCAGCTAACACCTTGATTGCAGCCTTATGAATCATTAAGGAATAGAGAGTCCAGCTGAGCTTTACTTGGGATTCCTGATGCACGAAAACCATGAGACAGTAAATGAGTCTCATTTTAAGCTGCTAAAATTTGAGGTAATAATAGCTAACAATAAATAATTCGTACAGATTTATCTAGTACCACACAACACAGAGATGAGGATGAAGGGATCAAAGGGTGCAGAGAAGTTAATAGGCTAGAATAGGTCTAGCCACAAGGCCAGGAAACCCAACCAGCTAAATAAGCTCCCTAGGAGGACTCAGGGGGTGCCCTCTGTAATAAGGTAAGAAAGAATGAACAGGTAGAGAGGTCTATTCTCTAAGGTTGGAGCTCGTGGTAGGGAATATTGTCACAGAACTGAGTTCCCAAGGAGCAATGAGAATGAGAATGTCCTTGAAGTAGCAGAGGCCAGCTGGCAGCATTTAACGGTCAGAGTAATGTGGGTATAAATATGTGATGGGCAGCAAGCACATTTGGGATGACAACTGGGGTGAAGTGCTGTGGGACCCACAGGCTGAGGTCAGTGACCCCAATGGGAAATTATGACCCCTTACCCAGTTTCCAGGCTGAGCCAGTTCTCAGATCTACAACCCACTGACTCATTGAAAGTAAGGCCAGTCCTCCAAGACCAAGGACCACAGCAAGTGTATGTAGCACTGATCACTCCAGTCCTTTCCCAAAGGAATCCACAGCCATTTCCTCAGGGGACACCGGAATACCCCTATTGGACGTTGTTGGTTCCTGGATCTAAGTTGACACTGACAGCTGGCAACCATTCATAATATATGTTTAAAATGTGCTAAAGGACACAAGTAATTACATTTGGAATACTGGCGTCTTAGATTGGGTGCCCTCAGGAACAGACTCCCAAACAGGGGTTTGAGATCTAGTAGTTTATTTGGGAGATCATCCTAAAAGGCACTGCAGGGAACCTGGGAAGTGATCCAGGGAAGGGACGGAGGCCAGTGTAGGATGATGGAATGAGCAGCTTACTCCTGTGGGCAGCTGGGCGTCACTCCACCAAGGACCTGTAGAGAGTGGTGCTCCTTGCCCCGACCTGAGAGGAAAGAGCTAGAGTATGTACCCACTGCACCCATCACTGGCCGAGCACTGATTCCACACACTTGAACCCCCGGCCTGCCTTGAGCTGGCTCCTTCATCTGGAGAAAGCCCACAGGCCGACAGATCAAAGTGTTTGCTGTAAGAAACCACCTTCCTATATTAAAACAAGGATGCTGAGGGCATAGAGGGGGGGGCATCCTGAAATCACCTGCTGTCCTCTGCTCTCTGCAGAGAGAACAACAGAACAACAGAACAACTGGAAAGTCAAGAAGAAAAATGATTAGACACGATACTCTTGTATTTGTATGCCTGGGAAATTCAGATTTATTTAAGATTTAGGGACATCTCCATTTGAGAAAAGATGGCCGGGAAGAAATATATCAATAGGGATGACATGTTGGTTGAAAGATTTCAGAGAAAATTCAAACTTTGTGTTCATTTGGGAGACAGGTAGTAACATGCTCTTGGGAGGGGCGGGGGGGGGCAATATATTTGGAGGCCAAAGTCAGTTTAAGAATCAGTTGGAACTAGGTTTTGACAATTGGCCTCTCACAACTCAGTTCAGTTAAACATCAAGAAGATTGGCTGACAAAAACCAGTGGGCACAGGTCAGGGCAGTCAGCAGACTGGGTGGCAGCAGGTGGTCTGGCAGCAGGTGGGACGGCAGCAGGTGGTCTTGCAACAGAGGGTCGGGCAGCAGCTAGGCCGGCAGCAGCTGGACACACAGCAGCTGGGGCGGCAGCAGCTGGAGCCACAGCAGGAAGGGCGGCAGCAGCTGGAGCCACAGCAGGAGCGGCAGCAGCTGGAACCACAGCAGGAGCCACAGCAGGAGGGCCTGCAGCAGGTGGTCTGGCAGCAGCTGGGGCGGCAGCAGGTGGTTCTGCAGCAAGTGGTCTGGCAGCAGGTGGGGCGGCAACAGCTAGAGATGCAGCAGGTACTGGAGCCACAGCAGGAGCCACAGCAGGGGCGGCAGCAGCTGGAGCCACAGCAGGAGCCACAGGAGGAGCCACAGCAGGAGGGGCGGCGGCAGCAGGTGGTCCTGCAGCAAGTAGTCTGGCAGCAGGTGGGGCGGCAACAGCTAGAGATGCAGCAAGTAGGCCTGCAGCAGCTGGAGCCACAGCTGGAGCCACAGCAGGGGCGGCAGCAGCTGGAACCACAGCAGGAGCCACAGCAGGAGGGCCTGCAGCAGGTGGTCTGGCAGCAGCTGGGGCGGCAGCAGGTGGTCTGGCAGCAGCCTTGGCCACAGCCCTGGTCAGAGCAGACGGATCCACAACAGGAGTTGACCATGGTGTCAGAGGGTGGAGGTTCGGAGTGAGTTTTCAGGAAGGTGGGTTGGAAGGTTTGGAAGTCTGCTTGCCCCAGGTCCCCTTTTATACCCTGCTAAGGGCTGCTGTCATCAGAAGCTGTGCTCTTTCCTTGTCCTGTTTGTCCTAATTAACAGGTGATTAGGAAATTAGCCAGGTTTGTTTTCCTGGCTAACCTTTTCAAGATGGATGGAAAACATTGTTTCCTGTTCCTGATGGGTTAGGATTCCTCACTTCAGCTCTTCCTGGATCATCTCTTATGTGTCTTTCTTGCTTCATCTTCCTTAAAGAAAGCTGTCATGTGATTTATGCATTTAGATCATGTATGTGTGTCTCATGTTGCACAGCCCAACATGTCTCCCTTTGGGTGATAATAAGCCACATTCCTTTTGGTGACTTAGGGGGATACAGCTGCATTCTAGTTTGATGTCTCATTCATTGTGGGGTCAGGTGGGCAGAGAAGTGTTGAATGTGAATCAGGGCATCACTGGCATGAGAATAAGACTCTTAGGATATTTCCTCTCCCTACTGCTAATCAGGGACCATTTTCCAGACTTTCAGATGGGAAATAAGTAACTGGTGTACGAGGAAAAACTAAGTCATGAAATTTTGATGTTTCTTCTTTTCCCTCAGCTTTATTGAGGAATACGTAATATGCAAAATATTACACGTCTAATGTATACATTCTGATGAGTTTGGATGTATGCATGTACCATAATACCATTTCCATAATTAAGGTACTAAATATATTCTTCACCTCAAAAATATTTCTTTCCATCCCCTTCATTTTTTGTGTGTGTGGTAAGAACATTAACCTAAGATTTACCTTCTTAACAAGATTTTAAGTGTACCATACTATATTGTCAACTATAGCCACAACATTGTACAGCAGACTGGTAGATGTTATTTGCCTTGTATCACTGTAATTCTATACCCATTGAACAACAGCTCACCATTTCCTACTACGCCAGCCTCTGCAAACCAAAATTATATTCTATGCTTCTTTTGTGTATTTAATATTTCAAATGAGTGAATTCATGCAGTATTTGTCCTTCTGTGACCGATTTATTTCACTTAGCATAATATCTTCCAGGCCCATCCATGTTATCACAACTGGCAGGATTTCCTTTCTTTTTTTAAACCATTTCCTTTCTGAATAATATTCATGTTCATTAATGTGTCAGAGTTGGCATTCAGTGTGCAATTCAGGGTGTCATGGCAGAAAGTGGTTCGCAATGAGTGTGAACTTATACTGAGGTTACTATCACGGGGGAAAACCTTTGTCTTTTTCATTCTAAACTGCTTTAATCTCTGCTGAGAGATATGTAGGGGTTATTTAATCTTTTTTTTTTTACCTGATACCAGCAGTAACATTTTTGATGTGGTTATACCTGAGGTAGAGGTGCTGAGGGTGAATACAACATTAGGGAGTATAGCTAGTTAATAAATACTCCCAAGAAGTTTAGGTATACTTACTGCTCCCCAAATCAGGTGCCATATATTGGATTAGTAACGACTCTTTCAGATCTAAGACAGGCTGTGACTTTCATCTTAGATTTAGTCTCCTATGCAAGGATGTCGAAAGCTCTTTGTACTTGAAACTGTTGAGGGGCCCTTCGTGGGTGAATGATGGAACACACAAACCGTGATACACCACGGAACAAGCTATTGATACAAAGAACAACATGCATGATCTCAAGGGAAGGATGCTGAGTGTGAAAAACCAATCACAGAGGTTACACACTATAAGATTCCATTTGTAGAACATGCTGGAAATAAAATTATAGAGATGGAGAACAGAGTAGTGGTAGGCAGGGGTGTCGGATGATGAGTGGGAGGGAGTGGGTGTGGCTACAAAGATAGAGCCTTATGGAGAAGGGCAGTTCTGTACCTTAATTGTGATGGTGGTTACACAAATCCATACAGTACATATGATAATCTGCATAGAAACACACACACACACACACACACACACACACACACACACACACACACACAGACTCATGAGTGCATGTAATATAGGTAAAATCTGAGCCAGTTCTGGGGATTGTACTGTGTCAGTTTTTGAGTTTTGAGATGTTCTATAATTACTTAAGATGTGACCATTTGTTTTTTGCTATTGACTTATATAAGTTCTTTATATATTTTGGAAGTTAGCCCAGCATCAACTATATAATTTGCACGTATTTGCTCCCATTCAGTAGGTTGCCTTTTTATTTTGTTGATGCTTTCCTTCCTTTGTTATATAGAAGTTTTTTAGTTTGCTGTAGTTTCACTTTTTTAGTTTTTTGCCATTGTGTTGGTGTCAACTCCAAAAAATTATTGCCAAGATCTATGTGAATGAGCCTACTGCCTATGTTTTCTTCTAGGAATTTTATAGTTTCAGAGCTTACATTCAAGTATTTAACTCATTTTGAGTTAATTTTTGCATATGGTGTAAGATAGTGGCCCAGTTTTATTCTTCTGCATGTGGCTTCACTGTTTTCCCAATACCATTTAGTGAAAAGACTGACGTTTCTCCATAGTGTATTCTTGGCTTCTTTGTCATAAATTAATTGACCATATATATTTGGGTTTAATTCTGGGCTCTCTGTTCTGTTCCATTGATCTATGTGTCTGTTTTTATGCCGAATGCCATACTGTTTTGATTACTATAGCTCTGTAAAATAGTTTGAAATCAGAGAGCATGGTGCCTCCAGATTTGCTCTTCTTTCTCAAGATGGCTTTGGCTATACTGGATCTCTTGTCATTCCATATAAATTTTAGGATTTTTTTTTCTATTTCTGACATGAAAAATTTCATGGGGATTGCACTGAATCTATAGGTTGCTTTCAGTAGTATGCTGATATTGTGACTACTTCCTTTTATCTATAAAAGTTTCAATGAGTTGTTCTCAATTAAGGAACACATTAAACACCAATTTTCTAAATATTCATATCACTTAGGGAACAACTTCCTCCTTGACAATTTCCCTGTGATTACCAAAACAACATAAACAAAAACAAGGAAAGTCTTACTGATTGGTCCCAACATTGGGGAACCAGTGTATAAAAACCCCAGAACGGAAGAAGTCCTCAGAATCTGAAAAACTCACCTCTGAACAGAAACTCACCTTCTACACCTGACACCATGTGCTGCTCCCCTTGCTGCCAGCCCAGCTGCTGTGGGTCCAGCTGTTGCCGACCCAGCTGCTGCTGCCGCCCTTGCTGTGTGTCCAGCTGCTGCCAGCCTTGCTGCCGCCCATGCTGTGGATCCAGCTGCTGCCAGCCATGCTGCCGCCCATGCTGTGTGTCCAGCTGCTGCCAGCCTTGCTGCCGCCCATGCTGTGGATCCAGCTGCTGCCAGCCATGCTGCCGCCCATGCTGTGTGTCCAGCTGCTGCCAGCCTTGCTGCCGCCCATGCTGTGGATCCAGCTGCTGCCAGCCATGCTGCCGCCCATGCTGTGTGTCCAGCTGCTGCCAGCCTTGCTGCCGCCCATGCTGTGGATCCAGCTGCTGCCAGCCATGCTGCCGCCCATGCTGTGTGTCCAGCTGCTGCCAGCCTTGCTGCCGCCCATGCTGTGGATCCAGCTGCTGCCAGCCATGCTGCCGCCCATGCTGTGTGTCCAGCTGCTGCCAGCCTTGCTGCCGTCCAACCTGCTGTCAGACCACCTGCTGTAGGACTACCTGCTGCCGACCCAGCTGCTGCTGCCGCCCTTGCTGTGTGTCCAGCTGCTGCCAGCCTTCCTGCTGCTGATCGTCTTATCAGAAAACCACCATCTGAGCGTAACATCTTTAGCTAACTGACTTGCCATTTTGGAAACATGTTCACTCCCTAGACTTAGCAACCAGCATGCTTGGCCATAACTTTCTGGAACTCATTTGCCTGATAGAAGCTTCTGATTCAGCCTGATGGGGTGCACAGGACGTCGCTGATCCTCTCCCTCCCGGGTTGGTGGATCATGTACCAGCTTCCTGCATCCTCGATATGGAGCTACGGTCTCTGCTTTGAGTCTGTAGTCAAGGTCTTCACCCTCTCCCTCTGTGTAACTTAGAAAAACGAATTCTTATAATTTTTAAAAGGTTTTACAACTGATAAATAATCCTCATAATCGTATGTTCCTTATCAATGTAGTCATGCTTCTTGTAACAGGCTTTCTTTTTTTAGGATCACTTTGAACTGTATTCCTAACTGCAGGAGTCTTACCCTTTGTTTCTTAATAAATTCTATAGCATAATTCATCCATATTGTGTTTTATTTATTCCTGACACAGGGATTTAAATACATACTGCGTACTATATGCATTATCCCTACTGAGCATCATAACAGCCCCACAAGAGGTATCTCTGTTTTTAGGGGGGAACCCCCATTAGTTGATTAAGGTCACGTAGCTAAGACTGGACTGACTCAGATCCAGGAAAGTCTTCTGTTTCTGTCGAAAGGCACTTACATTTACATCCCAAAGAGGCCTCGGGTGAATGTTGTCACGGGGCATGCACCACTCAGTAAATGCCCACATTCCCGACGCACTTCTCCCTGCTCTCTACCTTTCCTGCTAAGTGTCCCTCACCAAGTAGGAACTGCATCCTCTGCCTGCTACTCTATTCCTATGACATTCCAAACTGACCAGATGATCATTCTGACTTAGATGATGTCCCTGAAAAAAATGTGCTCTCACAGGAGTAGAACCTTCAGTCCAGGAGGGTCTGCAGCCGTGACGGGACGGGAAGCACAGATTCCCAAGTGTGTCACTAGTGGTTAATGTGAGGAGATTCACTCTGTTGTCTGCCCAACCCGTGTGTACTCCCATTCGAGGACATCTGCGGTCCTACGTTAATGATATAGTAATGGCCATTGGGTTAAGGTACAGTCCACATCCAGAAGACAATATATCAATCCCGTATGTTGTCACCTCTATGGTGGTGTCTTTGCTGCACATCTAAGAGACCACTCCAACTTTTTACCAGGCCAGCAATTTCTGTCACGTGATGCACGGTAGGACAAGTAGATCCATGGTTACGTGCCTATTGTTGACCCTGTTCATCACAGAGTGGGTCCCTTGGCCCAAAGTGATGCTATTCAGGATCCTATGACAATACTGTAAGCTGGTGGATAGCACTGCAGACAGGAAAGACAATTCTTTTTGCCAAACGTGCAATCACAGTAAGGAAGGATTGCCTTTTTCAGTGTGGAAGTGATCCGAGTGGAACACTTGGGTCCACTGGGGGTGGTTAGTCTTCATAAATGATGCTGTCAATACCAACTCACCTCTTGTCCC